TATATATATATTGAGAAACTCACTATTCACTTCTAAGCGCATTGAAGCAATAATACCAGTCATAAATACGAGAAAACACACTCACATATATATATACACATACACACACACACACATATATATATATATATATATACATATATATATGTATATGTATCTGTATATGTTAGTAGAACGGCTGTGTTATATTCCATCGAGTACACTTGAAGAATTCACAGTGGACACAAGTGTCTCGGAAGCCCATAGTTGTACACTTTCAAAGCATTCTATTAAGATTACTATACAAGGAAAATTTATTACAAATCATCGATGCATGATCCCATATTTACGCATATTTTTGTTTAGAATTCGATTATGACAAGAAGTTCTTTATTTTGATTTATCAATTTGTTTCATGAACGATGTCAGCATTATTTGGTAGTTAAGTCACATTGATGCGAGAGCGTCAGCTAAGTGATCGGAATTCATACTGCCATCCACAATAGTTGATCTTGGTATCAAGGTCAACATCTACCTCTTTTTGCATTCGAATCCATGGTCATCAAAGTAAACGTATCTCACTCAATATATCACACTTTATTTGTATATAATCTTTTAACCGAGTAGCTATCCTGACTGTTAGTCTTCATAGGAATTACATCTTCCTAGCAGCTGCACTTTCATAGGAGCCATCGCACATTTAGTGTTTATCTTCGCAACTGTCATTGTGGAAAGCAAGCATGCATGTTAAACTTCTTTATTCTATACTTGAATGAATTGGTAACGAGCTGTGTATAGAGCAAAGACACGACGAGAAAGCGACACAACGCCATTTAAATTCGTATATCCAATCGTATCGTAAAAGAGAGACATGCAACATACCAGTTAGATGCAAGACATTTTTTCTGAGACCAATTTCCGCCGCATTTGTCAGAATAACGGCAGCACTTTCGATTCTTCATTAGCGTCTGTCCACTCCCACAGTCAATGTCCTGATCCTTGCATCTCAGCTGGAAATCATCGTTGTCGCCATTGTCGCCCCCCTTGCTCTTGCAACTGAGGATAGGTCGTGAGCAAATAAATAAATAAACGGATTGCTGTGTGGGGGTATAAAACAACGAAAGGGCGAAAGACAAAGTCCAAACGAATAAATAACAAGTTCCATTTTTGAAATATTTCCGTACCAGTTTGATGCTAAGCATTTCTCTTGTGACCAACCGTTGCTGCAACTGTTTGAATATCGGCAGCATTTTCTGTTCTGCTCCAACTCCTGGCCATTTCCACAACTGATATTGCGGTCCTTGCATCGTAGATCATACTCGTTATCTCTTGAAGCATTCACGGCTGCAATAGCCATAATAGCAACTAAGAGGAGGAGTATAATTTTACGTGAGGCAAACATTTTTTGCGACTACCGGAGTTGAGATACTTTGATTTGTTTTCGAGTTTCTTAAAGTGTGAATTGAGGTTGACACATCAATAAATGTGCGGTATTTATAGGCCAAAACTTCAGGGTAAAAGTCAGTAACAAGGCATACACACGCTAACGATCAAACCGAAATGTTGTGACCTACGAGTTTACTGGCTATCTTGTATGAGCGGAGTATCAAAACGGCTAACTATGCGGTGGACCAAATATGCACATCTTCGATTCTTCGAATCTTTTCTGCATAATTATTTAATACCTCTTTTAGTTCCCCATTATGGTTCATTTAAACTCCACGGCTAACGTTAATACTGGAATTCACTCCTCCTACTACTCTAATCACTAATCAGCTGACAACAACCAAGCAACATCAATTTCTATAGAATTTCCTATTCTGAGATTCAGTTTTCGATTATAAATATCATCACGTGCAGGATTATGGATTCCATGAGCCGTAAGCCCGTATCTGACTGTGACAGAACTACAGTAGCATTGATTGTGTGCTGAACTCTAAATATTTATTATAAAATAGAGATGATAAAATAAATATTTAAAACTCAACTATTCGACCTATATTTTATAATTTTTTTTAAAGACAAAAGCGGTATTTTAAATAGAAGCACCTATAAAAGATTGCATTACATCATGAAAAAAAATACAAATGCCACAAATATTATATTTAAAAAAAATGAAATCTGTAAATATAGTCAAAATTTGCCAGATAAATAAATATTAATAAATGTTTTATTTAGTTCTTTTAAAATAATAAAATAAAGGTGATGTATTTAGTTCCACTGTGTGTTCCACAGTTCCAGTCCCAGACGTATTTATTTACAAGAGAACATTGAACAAATATTCTATATTTCTTTTATATAAAAAACAAATTATACCCATCCTCTTCGACTCCTCGTGTTTATTGTACAATGGTACAATGTACATAGAAGGGAAAATAGAAGGCTAGATAAAACTATATTTCGAAAACAATCTAAACCGATAGAGCAAATAATAAGCTATTTGTGAGCTATTGATTCATGCGTCACTGACTCACAGCGCATAGAGTCGTAGGAGGGAGTAGCGCTTATACTTTACAGTTTACGGTTTGCAGTTTTGCACTTGTCAGTTGTCAGTTGTCACTTTTAACACTTTAGTACTTTACAGTTTACTGCCGTGTGTACTGGTTTTTACGACAATGAAGTACACTCAGTACAATCGTACAGACGTACACACATGTCACGGCGATAGGTATGACAATTGACATGTCGTTTAGATATTTAGTTATATTTGGTTAACAGTATACAACTGTATACCTATTGAGCCGTCAGGCATCAATGGACCTGACGTCTGACGACACCATGTCGCGAGTCTCGCGACCCATATGTCCTATAAAATGTCGTCACAACGTGTACACAGTTTTGAATTTTGTACATATATATTTAGAACGTGTCGTTTTCCC